CCGAAGAGCACCCAGTCCTGTTGACAGAGGCTCCACTGAACCCCAAGGCCAATCGTGAGAAGATGACAACAATCATGTTTGAAACCTTCAACTGCCCGGCTATGTATGTCGCCATTCAGGCCGTCCTCTCCCTCTATGCCTCTGGTCGTACCACCGGCATCGTCCTAGACTCCGGTGATGGTGTCAGCCACACTGTTCCCATCTACGAGGGTTATGCCCTGCCCCATGCCATCCTCCGTCTTGATCTGGCTGGTCGTGATCTCACCGATTACCTCATGAAGATCCTCACAGAGCGTGGCTACAGCTTCACCACAACCGCCGAACGAGAAATCGTCCGTGACATCAAGGAGAAGCTCTGCTACGTGGCCCTCGACTTCGAGAACGAAATGGCCACTGCCGCCTCTAGCTCTTCCCTCGAGAAGTCCTATGAACTCCCCGATGGTCAGGTGATCACTGTGGGCAACGAGCGATTCCGCTGCCCCGAAGCCCTCTTCCAACCCAGCTTCTTGGGCCTAGAGAGTGTTGGCATTCATGAGACCTGCTACAACTCCATCATGAAGTGCGATCTCGACATCAGGAAGGACCTGTATTCCAACATTGTCCTCTCGGGTGGCTCAACCATGTACCCGGGCATTGCTGACAGAATGAACAAGGAGCTCACCTCACTTGCCCCGTCATCAATGAAGATCAAAATCATTGCACCTCCTGAGCGCAAATACTCAGTTTGGATCGGTGGCTCAATCCTGGGATCCCTGTCCACCTTCCAGCAGATGTGGATCACCAAGCAGGAGTATGACGAATCTGGCCCCTCCATTGTTCACCGCAAATGCTTCTAAATCTTTCTGATTTTTCTAAGTTTTCCTTTTAAACTCGAGTTTTTACTTGATAATTGCCTGCAAGTTGTAGAAAATTGCAAATAGAATTTTGATAATTAATGCCGATATATTATTTTTTTACTGTCCGTGAAAACAGCGGAAGATTTAGATACAAGAAGGTTTTAGAGATTTGGTTTTTAATACGTATACCATCGGCAGTGGATTATTCAGGGAAGAACACGGGGGTCCTAAAAATAGGCTATGTTTAATCTTAGTGGCGTCCAGCTGTACGTCTTGATGGGGAGCTTGAAATTAAAGATTAGCTTTTTGTCACGGGGCTACAGTGCTGGGGAACCGCGTTGTCGAATTCATTAAAGATGGCAGTCAGTAATCGTGGAGGGACTCCAATAGAAGTATTCACGCTAGAAGGACAGACTTTGAGCTTGGTTGTAGTCACGATTGACAAGAGCAGTTATTCTACACTGTTCTTTCCCGCTTGATCAATGATTCTCCCCTCGATTATCTGTTGCTCCTCACCCAAAAAAAGATAAGCCATCGTACTCCGTTTTATAACTACCACAGCCTATTCAGTTTCATGCCTAAATGACCTCTGCCTTAGCAAACACGAACATAAGCGAAGCCTGATGGTCATATGAGTGACCTAGTTGGGTTTAAGGTCATATAAGTGTTCGATATGAATCTAGTTTACCAGCCAGATCAGCAGGCGACAAGAGGGGGAAACCCGTTGTAGATGCGGGCTACTTAAAATGTGAAAGTACTTCTTTTATTATAAGTCAAAGGCAAAAGCGACCCCATAGACAGCCCAAAAGGTAGACCAAAATAACCTAAACTCGTTTACAAAATTTCTTGTAGCGGCTGCAATGCAGTTTATTGCGGACAAACAAGACGATCGGCCTCCACACGCTTACGCGAACATCAGCGAGCGGTTAAGGGACGATATCCGTTGTCCGAGGTCGCCATGCACACAGTAAAAGATGGACACCAATTCGCATGGGACGAAACTTGCATTGTCGGCTCCTGCGCATAC